AGCAGTGTATGTGACATCCATTGGTGTCACTAAACAAGGTTTTATATAAGCTCCTATTCCATTTTTTTTCTTTTTGGATAACTGTTACTGTACTAACCCCTCTTACATATTTATAAGGTTCTTTACAAATCAACAATATATTTTACCAGAAGTTAACTGTTACAACAAGATTTTCCTTATGAACCATTCATCTCTTTTAAATATTCCTATGTGTTTGGACATATATGTCCCTAAATAACTTAGTTTTAATCATAAGACAAAAATCCATATTAAGGAAAATCAGATTTGGTGGGGGCATTTTATGTGTAGTTCAAAGTCCTTTCATTTAATCATTTCTCTTTCTGTTGGAAAGAAACCCTGATAGTAGTTGCTCAAAAAAAGATGTGAAATGTTTATATTAAGTTGGGTACAATTTAATTAGACTAAATGAAGTGATATATATGTTCAACAGATAACTTAAAAATTGTATGCCTGAGGGATGAAAAGTGGTTGTTAGTGGTAGATATCTTTTAGAAATCTTGAAGGATCATCTATTCTCCTGATATATCAGAATCTTTGGTAGGATCTGCTTGGTTATCTCCATCTTAAGAACATTTTCAGCTAATTTTTATGCACGCTAAAGTCTTAGAACCATTACTGAATTCTCTGCTGATAGTTTTTGGGATATTGGCTTCTGGCTCCTGATGGAAGCTGCTCTTCCCCAGTTGTTGGGAGAAAGGGAGAGCTGCCGTAGCTGTTCCAGACCTACTGCCCTATGCAGTGGTATTTCCAAAGCTTTCAGTGTCAGCGTTAGTTTCTGCTCTAAGTCCTCTCTCAACTAGCGCTCCTTGGTGAAGGAATATATCATGTGGTGCACAACCTGTTGGGCTGTGACAGAGGCTTCACATGTTTCCTAAAATGTTAATATTTCCTGGCAAGGGAAGAACTGCAGGTAAGGAAATGTAAGAGAACTGAAGTGGTTTTCTGGGGCCAGGATTGAAACTGTTGTTTATATATTTTAAATACCAGACACTATACATGACTACCCTCCTTTTTAGTGGAAAGAACATGGCCTGTGCGTTCAGGTCGTCTTGGTTTGAAAGTATGTGTGCCTCTATCATTTACTGGCTTTAACTAGTGACTTTACACTTTCCTTAACTTCAGTGTCCTCATCTGAAAAGTAGGCATGATAATTTTAAATTCTAAGGTTATTGTAAGGATTAATAACCTAAAGCAGATTTTTAGAATGCTTTAGCATATTTTTATAAATCTGTCCCAGTGTAGTAATTTTAATAATGATTACTATTACTTACCAGTTGAAGGCAGATATGCCTTATGCAGTTAACCAAACAGAGGCTGAATGATTTTGTTAAATTAGGAAATACTTTATTTCCAATCTGATGTGGTATGAGCTAGAAATGAGGATATGCTGAATGTGTGAAGGGGTTTTCCTTTAAAAAAGAACATAGGCCTTTTTTTCCTACCCATACCCTGATAAATTTGAAATTTGATTCTAGCTCAGACCCTTCTTAAAGGTAAGACTCTTCCTACAGCTCTAGATGTTTACAGTGCAATGCCTACAAGACATCTTCAGCCCTTAACAAGTCCAAGTCTAAACTTGGGCTGTTTCTTCCAACAACTGATCTTCTTCCAGGTTTCCTTACATCAGTGAGAGGAATTGCTGTCCATCTTCATCCTACACAAAAACTAATCTTTCACTGAATTCTGCTGATTGTTACCATAAATCTCTTTCCATCTTCTCTTCTCCATCTTCACCTCCATCACCTTAGGCTGGGCTACTGTCATCTCATACCTAACTCCTCCCCTGCATCTTTCTTGCTCCTTTCCATAGTTTTGCCAAATTTGATATTTTTCCAGTGTGTAATTGATTGCCATACCTTACTTAAGACCCTTCTGCCCTATTTTGTTTTATGTTTCCTCTGCAGTAGTGACGGGCCTCTCTGCTTTTCTTTCTTTACTTTGAAAAGAAAGTGTTTATTGTAACTGTTTTTCAACCTTTGTACTTGCTGTGCCAAGACTGGAACACTTCCTGTATTTCTGAGATGTCATCTTAAATAGTCTTTCTTTAGGTCTTTGCTGTTCTCTGAGCTAAATCATGTCTCCTGCTATAAAATCTCATGGCCTCCTCCTTCCCTATTTTTAATAGCATCTGTCTCTGTTTGCAATTATGTATTTGCATGGTTATTACATACTGTCTGCTTCCCCAAATAAAATACAAGTTCTATGAGGGCTCAGACAATTTCAGTGTCTACAAAGACCTAAAACAGCCCTGAAAACAGAAGAGAAGTATTAAATGACTGACTGAAGTACATAAAGAGACAGTTAAAATACAAAGTGATTAATTCTAAAGTAAGGTATGGATGTAGTCACAGTACAGATAGAGTTAGAACATTGGCTTGTGAAGCTTTGTTATTTGGGAACACTTTTGTTACTGTAGCATTGCTTTGACTGGCCTCTAATTTTACTTTTTCTCTTAAAAATAAAGATTAGTAGTATTTCAAAGGTTGAATTTCCCAGTACAGATTAAGAACTTCCAGAACTTGATTGTAGTTGAATGAGCTTTGAGTAAAATCCTTCCCCTTTCCTCACATCTGCACAGTATTTGAAGTTTATAATTCAAAAAATGTATATCTGGTTACATACTTCTTGTTGTTTACTATATGGAATGTGTTCATTTATGTGTTGCCTAATGCATAAACATTTAAAAATACTACCCAAACTCATGAAGATATCAAAGATATTATAATAAATTTCTCAGCTCTTATAAAAATTAAAAAGAAATCAAGAAGATTAATATGGCATTAGAATTATGCTTTTATATTTCTTCCTCGTGTTTGGATCTTAATTTGCTGCATGACTATTGTTGGCAGGTTAACATGTTCTTGTGAAAACTCTTACGACTTTACTATTTTCTTGAAATTGGTTTAGTACTGTTGTTTACATTTTAAAATTAGTGTTTTCAGTAAAATTTTGCTTTCCATCTATCCTGAATTCTCCCTAGGAATGCACAACTTCAAAAATAAAGAGGCATAGTCAGCAGAAAAAGAGGTGGTCTGAGCCTTTATGCATTAAATATGCATGTTAATTAGGAAAAAAATTAGAAAAATATGAAAACAGATGTTACGTAAATTATTACAGTCCCAGAGCAGCAGTAACTTATACACTGACAATAATTTTTATATGTGCATGTGTATATCTATTTCTAGATTTCTCAGTATTTATGCAACTCCATAGAGAATCACTAGAAAAAGAACTGGTATATCCTTTCAGTAAAACTATGGTAAACATTCCTTCTACATACTAATTGTTGAGGAAGTCTAGTTGTTACTATACAGATAGTCTTCTGTGTTTCCTAATTCTGCCTGTAGTCTTTTTCGTCCTCCTTGGTTTCTCTGATAGTATGTCAGTGAGATAATTTCATTGGCTATATCCTGTCAGAACAAGAAAGTAAATTATAATATTGTTACAATCTTATCAGTGTAAGAAATGTAAAAATGACCTGGTGTTTATTTAGAAACAAAACAGATTACAATTACTCAGGACACTGATAATAGTGTCACTTCTTTTGCTTACTATTGTATTTTCTGAAGAAATGGCCATCATTCTCTGAGTAGTATTGACAGAGTAGTATGACAGTATGCATTAAGTGTTACATAAACATGGATTTATCAATCATGTGTTAAAATAGTTGAAAGGTATTTGAGTATCTTTTACTCTGAAGAGTCATCCATAGAGTTATAAAGGAAAAGATAAGAAATAGACCCATGCTTTATTTTAGTAGCAGTTTTTTGTTCAATCATACAGAAAAACCATGTGACTACATTGTTGTCCAAGGAGCTGCTGACAATATTTAGGTATTTTTCATATGTATAGGATGTAATTTAGAGATGTGTTGTTTGTAGCTTTTCAGATAAGATTGAAAGTTAAGGAAATGCTTGCTACATCACAATTTAGTAAATCATTCTTATCAAACAAAAAATGAATTGTATTCAATGCAAGGACATAAAACAATTTTTGGAAGTCTGTTTAGAGATCAATGCGACATTCGTTTGTATTCTTTAGAAATCATACTTTGTTAATTTGATTTTAGTAGCATATGATGCTAAAATGTGTTTTAAGTTAAGTAATTTCTTTTGAACGTCCGTAGATTTTAGTTAAATCTATTACCATAATGTTTTTCAATTCTATATTACAGATTTATGTTTTATATTTTATTACCTAACTACTGTTGTACTTTCATATGCTTCACAAATAAGCTCTGACAGGTTATTGGGAGTTAAGTAAACTAAAACACCATGAAATCTGGAGGGGAGTTATACTTTGTTTATAATTTATTATTATTGAAGGTCTCTACCCAAACTAGACAGCTATTTAAGAAATTCAATGGACATTCTTGTATTCTTGATTTTATATAAAGATGTCAGATATGACTTTATGTAAGTATATTATTAAAGGTGATAAAATATTTTTCTTTTTCTCTAGGCAAAAAAGTTATGGAAATTGATTTTTAATTCATAAAAATGTTTACTTGCCACACTAATGCATCTGTATTCTAATTGTACATTTTATTAATGCTTTGGAATCCATTTTCAATGGAATTTTTTTCGTATTTTATAAATTTCTAATTTACATTTTTTTGTGATTTTAATACATGCTATTATTTTACTGTGTGGTAGAATAGTGTGTATATTTGAACACTTTTGTGTCATTTCAGCAAAACATAGTTGTAACAAGTGATTTTTTTATATTGAGGTGTTTCTTTAATTTTAATTTTTGTGTGTGTAATGCCTTTTATTGTAGATATTATAAAATGATTCCCTTTTTTCCTGGAGTTGGAATAGATGATGGAAAGAGTGATTAATGAGTAGGCTAATATTTTTCCCGTAAGAGCCTAAATATTATGACATAAATGTCTTTAGCCTTCATTTTTCATTGTTTGCTTTGGTTTAGGGTTCCTTCTGGGATAAGAACATTTAAAGCTATTTTATTTACTTTTCTAGGTATTTGCCTTTTTTCCAGCAGCTCAGTTGAGGGAGAAATCAGCTAATCTTCGCTTCTTAATTCTTCTTCCTATTTGCCAAACAAGACTTGTATTTGGAATACTTTGTTATACTGAGCCTGAAATCATCTTTGACCCGTAACAAGAACATGCATTTTCAATTGTCAATTAGAATGATGGATCAGTAAAGTTCTCCTGAAAGGTAGGCATATATTTATTAACAGTGCATTCATAACTGAATACTATCAAGTACCTATCTTAGTATTTTTTTAGGCTCCTCTAACAAAAATACCATACACTGGGTGACTCATAAACAACAAAAACTTATTTTTCAGTTCTGGAGGCTGGGAAGTCCAAGATAAAGGCACCAGCAGATTTGGTGTCCAGTGAGAACTCACTTCTTGGTTCATAGACAGCCACATTCTCACTGTGTCCCTTACATGGGTAGAGGGAATGAGAGGGCTCCCTGGGGTCTCTTCTTATAAGGGGGTTAATCTCATTCATGAGGGTTTCACCTTCATGACCTAATCAGCTCCCAGAGAATTCACTCCTTATATCATTGCAATGGGAATTGGGATTTCAACATACAAGTCTTGGAGGGGGACATAAACATTCATTTCATAACAATACCCTGACTATAGTAATGTGTTCTTTAGATTCATGTATAAAAACTGTGTGTGTATATATGTGTGTGCATGTATGTGTGTGTTTATAGCCTTCTGCCGGATTTAGATTGTGGGCTCCTTCAAGAAATAATGTTACCCTTTAATACAGTTATTCAAGAGGTCCTTGATTGCTTTCTTTCCACCTCCTATATTTATATATGAGCTTCCAATCTTTTCCTTTTCCTCACTGTTTACCTTCTCTTTTAACTGAGCCTTCACAGGAGCTTTAAAAATGTTTTCCCACCAGTAAACTTTTAGTACTTTACTTTGTACCCATATGTTTTTCTCTTTGTTTTCCCCTTCCTTCTTTCCTTCCTTCCTTCTTTGCTCCATACATCCCTACTTCTCTAGCTAAGGACATTCATTAAATTTTTTAAAAGAGTAGCAGTTAGAATGATTGGATTTAGAATTGAAGATATCTCAGATAAAGAGCATTCACAATTTTTCTTAAACCATAACCCATTGTAAGAAATAAAATTTACATTGATGAACCATGTTCTACAGGTATACATGTACAAATGAAACTGAAGCAAAAGTTAAAGCAGTTCTTACCCTAACTACATGGAATGTGTGCTGTGTTCTTTTCTATAATATTTTTGTATATTTCATTTAATGCATGTTGGTGCCCCTGACTAAATTTATTTCCCTATCTAATAATAGATTGCCTTTGCAATTTCAATAACCATACTTTATATCACTTGTATATTTGTTCATGACTAACTTTTTTGGAAAGGAAATGGAATCAGGCAGTTTGTTTTTTGTTTCAGTCAAGATGTCTTTTCTCCTGTCTTCTTTGTGCTTATCTCTTTCACCATTCAACACTATAAGCTATCAACAGTGTGGTGAAAGAGCAGGGTAGCTGCTAGAAAACACCAGAGTATATAATTGGTTCTTTTGTAGTAAAAACATGATGGTACAAATGGTCAGGTCTCAAAATTTAAAGGGGAATAAGTCTTTGATAGATTCATCCATTTATAGTGTGGTATATATTTCTTTATTCTGTTCTTGTCTGTTCTGTGTAAATTGTATATGCATTCTGATGCCGTCAAATCATTCCTGGTTTAAAACATTTTTAACTTTTTAATCCCTCTTCATCAGCTTAGAATAACTCAGATCTTTACCCAAAGATATTTTTTATGATTGCAAAAGTAAAATGTTGTGTTAGAAAGTTTGGTATGTATGTATATATATACACATATGTATGTATGTATATGTATAGAAGTATAAAAAGAAGATAAAAATGATCCTAACTCAATGTAGCAAAAGCAGTCCTAAGAGGGAAGTTCATAGCAATAGATACCTACATTAAGAAGAAAAAAAGACTTCAAATAAACAAGCTAATTTTATACCTCAAGGAACTAGGAAAATGAGGACAGACAAGCATAAATTTACTAGAAGAAAGGAAATAACAAAGATCAGAAATAAATGAAACAGACTAAAATGACAAGAGAATCTATTAATGAAACTAAAAGCTGTTTTTAAAAAATATATAAACAAAATTGACAAATGTTTAGCTAGAAGTACCAAAAAAAAAAAAAGAGGACTCAAATAGAAGTATAAGTGAAAGAGGAGACATGACAACTGACACCACAGAGATACAAAAAGTGCATTATATACCAACAAAGTGGACAATGTAAAAAAAATGGATAAATTCCTAGAAACATACAACCTACCAAGACTGAATCATGTGAAACAGAAAATATGAACAGACCAATTACTAGTAAGGAGATTGAATCAGGAAGCAAAATCCTACCAAAAATGTCCAGGACTAGATTGCTTCAGTGGTGAATCCTACCAAACACTTAAAGTAGAATTCATGCCAATCTTTCTCAAAGTCTTCCAAGAGGGAAGAGGAGGAAATACTTCCAAAGCCATTTTATGAGTCTGACATTACCCTGATACCAAAACCAAAGAAGGATGCCACGAGAAAATAAAATTACAGGCCAATATCATTGATGATCACAGGTGCAAAAATCTGCAACAAAATATTAGGAAACCGAATGCAGTAACACATTAGAGTGATCAGACACCATAGTCGAGTGGAGTTTATTCTGTGTTGCATGAATGTTCAACATTTGCAAATTAATCTGATATAACACATTAGTAAAAATTATATCATCATCTCAATAGATGTAGAAAAAGCATCTAACAAAATTCAACATTTATTTATAGTAAAAATTCTTAACAAAAGCATATTGAGGAGACTTACCTCAACATATATGACAAGCCATGTATGTAGGCTATATATGACAAGCCCACAACTAATGTCATATTCAATGGTGGAAAGCTGAGTTTCCTCTAAGATTAGGAGTAAGACAAGAATGCCCAAACTCTTGATGTTTTTTTTTTTTTTTTTGCAAAGAACTGTTCTTTATTTGAACTCCTTACCAAGGTTGTTTTTGCAGTGAGTAATGATGAGGAATGAAGTAATATTCTGCATATACAAAGAACTAACCTTGCCACTTTTATTCAACAGTCCTGGAAGTCCTAGCCAGAGCCATCAGGCAGGTGAATGAAATAAAAGGCATCCAAATTGGAAAAGAAGAAGTGAAACTGTAGTTGCAGAGGTGTGCTATTTTATATGGAAAATATTAAAGACTCCACCAAAGACTGCTAGAACTAATAAATGAATTCAGTAAACTTGAAGGATACAGAATCATATGCAAAAATCAGTTGCATTTCTATATAGTAACAATGAGCTATCAGAAACAGAAAAACAATTGCATCTTCAGTTGCTTCAAAAAGAATAAAATACTTAGGAATAAACTCAACCAAGGAGATGAAAGATCTGTACAATGAAAATTATGAAACATTAATCAAAGAATGGAAGAAGACACAAATAAATGAAAAGACACTGTGTGGTCATGAATTGGGAGAATTTACATTGTTAAAATGTCCATACCACCCAAGACAATTTACAGATACAATGAAATCTCTATACAAAGTCCAGTGACATTTTTCACAAAAAAAGAAAAAAAAATCCTAAAATTTGTATGGGACCTCAAACAACCCTGAATAGCTAGAACAATCTTGAGAAAGAAGAACAATGTTGGAGGCATCTCCCAATTTCAAACTATACTATAAATCTATAGTATTTTTAGCATAAAAATAGACACATGGATTTATGGAACAGAATAGAGGGTTCAGAAATAAACCCATGCTAATATGATCAGTTAATTTATACACAGGAGCCAAGAATATACAATGGGTGAAGGATAGTCTCTTCAATATATTTTGTTGGAGAGATTGGACAGTCACATTCAAAAGACTAAAACTCGACCCCCCTCTTAAGCCATATACAAAAATCAATGTTAAGTGGACTAAAGATATGTGTATAAGACATGAAACCATAAAATCCTAGAAGCAACTGAGTTGAGCTACTTGGCATTGCTCCTGGCAATGCTTTTTTAAATTTGACACCAAAGCAAAAGCAACAAAAGCAAAAATCAACAAATTATAGGGTTACAGCAAACTAAAAAGCTGTTGCACAGCAAAGAAAACCATCAACAAAATGAAATGGCAACCTAATGAATAGGAGAAAATATTTGCAAATCATATATTTGGTGAGGAGTTAATATCCAAAATATATAGAGAACTCACACAACTCAATAACAAAAAAACTGTCTGATCAAAAAATTATCTGAGGAACTGAATAGACCTTTTTTCTTAGGAGACATGCAAATGACCAAGAGATATATGCAAAAGTATACAACATAACTAATGATCAGGGAAAAGCAAATCAAAACCATATGAGATATCACCTCACACCTTTCATAATGTCTATCATCAAAAAGACAGACAGATAACAAGTACTGATGAAGATGTGGAGGAAAGGGAATCCTTGTGCACTATTGTTGGAAGTGTTAATTGGTGCACTCATAATGGAAAACAGTATGGAGTTCCTTCAAAAATAGAACTAACTTGGCAAGGAAATGAAAACAGTATATTAAAGAAATAATCAGTACTCCTGTTCATTGCAATTTTGTTCCTAATAGCCAAAAATATGGAAACAACCTAGGTGTCCATCAGTGGACAATGAAGAGGTGGTATATATATATATATATTCAAGGGAATATTATTCAGATATGAAAAAGAAAGAAATCCTGTCATTTGCAACAAGATGGATATACCTTGAGAACATTATGTTAAGTGAATTAAGCCAGACAGAAGGATAGCTACCGCATGGTATCATTTACATTGAAATCTATAAAAAGTGGGAAAAAAAGGTCAAACTCATAGAAACAGAGGGTAGAAAATTAGATACCTAGAGGTGGGATAGGGTGTGAAAAATCGGAGGAGGTTGGTAAAAAGATAGAAACTAGTATCACTTACATGCAGTATCTATAAAAGTGAAAGAAAAAAGTCAAACTCATAGAAACAGGGGATGGGTAGTAACAAGCAATAGGGAGAGGTTGGTGAAAATGTACAAACATCCAGCTATAGAAGGCATAAAGTCTGAGGATCTAATGTATAACATGGTGACTATAGGTAATAACACTCTACTATATAATTGAAATTGACTAAGAGTAGAATTTAA